GAAGGGATGAAGCTGTTGAAATCACATTTCATTTGAATGGATAGTTTATTCTGCGATTGATTGTTACAACTGCATGCAGAATTTATATTGTGTAATGCGGTGAAATAGCACACAATCTTTTGCATACTCATTCAAAAACCAAACGGCAAAATTAGAAAAGAATTCGGAAATTCGACGAATTACCGAACGTTTTTTGTGTTTACGGTAAAATGTCGAATTGCCAACAATGTTTCAAAAATGTTGGTAAAATGGCATTTCACCAACTTTATGAATATAATGTCGTAGACCAAGAGCTGTTGAACAAAGTACACTATAAATACAAGCTTCATGTCAGACAATAGAATTGTAGGTGCACATTGAGGCCAATATTCAAAATATCAATTTGTTTTATCTTCATTTGATACACATCACAATATCTGCTCGCCGATAACAAGAAACAAAATTTCTTCACTTTTCGCTCAAGCTCCATGTCAGATTTTTTGTTTACTGCTAAATTTGCACAAAATTCATTCAAACACAAAAAAACGTGCTCCAAACATTATACACAACATTTTTTATTACATATCAAAGTCTCATTCAATTCTATGAAGTGAGGTTATGTGTTTGTAATGCATTTTGACATGACCACAACATAACCTTTTGAAAAATGTTTGCTGGATCTTTTGTTTTTATAGACACGTTAACAAAACGCAACGCATACCATTTATCTGATAAATTCATCTAACGATGATGAACTCATCTGTAAGTATACTCTGATCCAAAATATTGTATATCCATTGAAAAACAATCTGAACACGATAATATTATTGCGTGGCATAAGATAATATCTCTCTTCTTCTATATAAACTAAGACAATTCGGTAAAACGTTATAGTTGTGAAACAACCATTGGCCAATAACCATTTTCTATCACCGTTTCAAATTTACGATGTCAATCATATTTAGCCACACGCATATAATCTTGTATTGAATACATACAAAATACGAAGTGTGAAATTGTAGAGCGCCGTCCATAAATGACGGCAAAATTCAGTACTAATTGGTGTGATTTCGCAACATTTCACAATATGTCGAAATCACTTACGGCTATTTACAGATGATTTTGCCGTCAATTATGGATGGCGCTCTACAATTGTTCAAAATGTGAAGATAAGCAGGTGTATTTAGCGACGTAGAGAATCCAAATAATTTTAAGCCCGGACCATGGCACGGTGCTGCCGGAATAGTACGTGTATCAATCGATCCAGCAACCTATGATCAACTGCCGTTTCTAAAGGATTACAAATACTTCTCTTGTATACGACCACGAAAATATGTCGATTGGGCTGAACGTATTCAGAATTTCAAAGTTCGACCAGACGACATTTGGGTGCTGGGCTTTCCAAAATCTGGTAACTAAGTAAATATTTGAAATATTTTTTTTTTAAATGTTCGGACGAACATAATTCTTCATGTTCTATTTTGTTTTAAATTCACCATTCTGAAGGCACTACGTGGATGCAAAATATTGTGCATCCATTGAAGCACAATCTGGACACAACCATCTCGTTGCCAAATGCTAATATTCTTGAGATGCATACGTCGATTGATAAGATCGATGGTGACGAGGAATTTGCAAAATTTGTTGAGAACCGAGAAATCTGTTTGAAGAGTTGGATACACTTCCGTCTCCACGGTTGATAAAGTCGTGATGTTAAGGATGTTGCCGTCTCCTATTATTTTCATATGTGTCGTAATCAGAGCACTGAAGCTGCTGCATATATATTTGCTGCTGGTGAACAGATCTGTTCGACAGCAGCTGTTGCTTGCGTGCATATTCGCTGTGAAGCACGTTCGTTCATGTATCGATTCTCGCGCACAATGTTTGTCTCTTTTATTCAAACGGAATCAGACAGAGGAGCGTACAGAACACACGAGATACATCGTAAGCGACGCGCGCGTGCACACTCATAGCTGCCGTTCGTGCCTCGTGTGTTTTATATGCTTCTCTGTCTGGTTCCGTATAAATGAAAGAAACAAACATTGTGCGCGAGAATCGATACATGAACGAAAGTGCTTCACAGCGAATATGCACGCAAGCAACAGCTGCTGTCGAACAGATCTGTTCACCAGCAGCAAATATATATGCAGCAGCTTCAATGCTCTGGTCGTAATCGTGTTTTTTTCCTTACAACGGCAGTGCACACGATTTCTTCCATAGTTTCTACAACGATAATTTTGTATGGGGGCCATACCATCAGCATGTTCAAACCTATCGTCAACTCCATCACTTGGATCATCTTCTTCTGATGACGTATGAGGAAATTAAAGAAAATACATTGGCCTGCGCCAAGCGAGTAAGCGAATTTTTGGGATGCACATACAGTGATGAAGAGTTGCACCAACTGGTTGAAGAAGCTTCATTCGAAAAAATGCGAGAAAAAATGCTGAACATGATGCCAAGATTTGAACCGGACTTTAAGTGAGTTTGTGATTATTTTTAAAACGAAGAAACTGCAAAGAAATCGATCATTCTTCCAATGTTTCAACCATTTTGGTTTTGGGTTTTGACGGAAGGGCAAAGTTGGCGGTTATCGAGATGAAATGTCTGAAGAAGATATAAAAAATTTTGATGAATGGATTAAGAGGAACAAGAAAGAATTGGCAGTGGAATAAAAGTACTTATCTCATGGAGTTCAAAATGAGATATTTCTCATTAAAAACTGGTCAATATTGCGAAGAATTGTTGTCATTTGTAGAAGGTGGAGTAAACTTGAATTTCGTTAATAGCTTAAAATGTAAATTGTTGAATTTTTTTTAGAATGATTGCTATCTCAGTAACGAATAATTCTACAAAGTAATGTCAGTAACGAGCAAAATTCGTTTCTTCTTATTTTCACCCGATTTCGAGCTATGTCATTGGCGCATAATTTTTTTGTTTCATTTCTCCACAAAGTGTTTTTTCATCTCAGTTTCAGAAAAACTTCTCATAATATTAACTCTTACGTCATGGGTGTCATATGCATCTACATTTATGTAGAAGCATTTTATATGCAAAGAAGCAATTCCAATCATCAAACAAAAGAGCCATGTGACCATTTCAACTTAATTGTATTGGGTCAATTCGAAAGTTTCCGCCGTTTTTTTGTGTCTAAAAATACATTTATTGCAAAATAAATTGAAAATGTACATTAACCAATGTATTCGCCATCGTTAGCTATGACTTCCCGCCATCTTTCTGGCAGCTTGTGGATTCCTCGTGTGAAGAAGTCTTTATCTTTTGAAGCTATCCAGTCATCTATCCATTTTCGTACTTCTTCTTCATTTTGAAAGCGTACTTCGGACAGGGCCATTTGCATCGAACGGAACAAGTAGTAGTCAGAAGAAGCAAGGTCTGGAGAGTACGCGGGCTGATCAAGCCGATCCCAATCGAGCTGCTCTATCTTTTGTTTGACGATTTTTGCACGATGTGGCCTCGCATTGTCATCGTGGAACAAAACTTTGTGGTGTTTTCGGGCTATTAATGGCCGTTTTTCGTTCAATGCACGTGCCAAACTGGCCAATTGGCGTCGATAGCGTTCCTTATCGATCGTTTGATCTGGATTTAGCAGCTCATAATATACGACTCCTTTCATATCCCACCAGATGCATAGCATGATCTTATGGCAATGAATATCTCGTTTTGGTTGTGATGCACACAAAATAGTCGGTTTGTCAGATTTCAGATATTTGACATAAATGTCAGTTCATGTGAAATTTAAATGAATTTCACATAAACCGTGCCTATATAAATGTATGGTTATGACTTTTATGTAGATTTTGTCGAAACTTCGCATAAAGGTTGGTTCATACGAGTTTTGACAAAATCTACATAAACGTCATAGCCATACATTTATATAGGCACGGTTTATGTGAAATTCATTTAAATTTC